CAGTAGGCCAAACATTCCCAGGCAGTGGTTGCTGGAAGCACCTGGGATTGCCTCATCTCTCTTCCTTTCCATTCCGCCTACACCTAGCTCTTCAATTCCCCGGGTTCCTGTGATACACGCCCATATACCGGCTTTTCCCCTCATTGCCATTGGCACTACCGAGCGTCGTCCAGAAACCTTCATTAGTCACCTTCTGTATACAGCACACGGTGTACAAACACTGGGGTGCTAAGAAGTACAGATGCAGAACCTGCCCGAGGGTTTGTAGTCTCTATGTGAATGTAGCTCTATGTGTATTCTACTTGAAACAGGTACACTTTGAACTTGTGTATTTTGTAAATATAAAGTAATTTAGGTTATGCTGGGCATCAAAAATGATGATATAAATAATGAATGTTATTTGGATTTACATGTGGCTGGGGTATCAGGGACAGTCTCAAGGAAGACAATCTATCAAAAGGATAGGAATGGAGGAACATGTAGGTATAATGTGTCTCCTGATGAGATGCAACTTTAAAACCCAACAGCATCTAGAATGTACTGTGGTCGCAGTGCTTAATTTATCAAGGCCTTAGAACTAAATTCCAGTGTACAGGATACAGAGGCTAGAGAAATTAGGTAAATGACATCACAAGGCACCGACCACAGACAAATAATGCAGGACATTCAGCAGTGTACGAGGCTGGGTTTATTTCAAAGAGCAAGGCTTATAAAAAAGGACTCTTTTAGGTAAAACTTGAGAAGTGAGGATATGGTCACCATATGCAGTGCATAATGCTGGACTGGATTCTGGTTCAGACCATCAGACCACTTGCTGCCAAGGACATTTTTGAAACAAATGAAAACATGTTTCATTTTTTTAAAATTTCTTTTGAGAGAGAGAGAGAGAGAGAGAGAGAGAGAGAGCGTGCGCAGGGGAGGGGCAGAGAGAGAAGGAGAAAGAGGATCCCAAGGAGGCTCCATGCTGTCAGTGCAGAGCCCAATGTGGGGCTCGAGCTCACAAACCATGAGCCAAAATCAAGAGTCAGACACTTAACCGAATGAGCCACCCAGGCACCCCCCACTGAAAACATTTGAATGTGGGATGGATAAAGACGATACTGCCAGGGGTGTAAGGACTGTGGGGCTAGGAGAGGGTGAGGGGAGGGCCAGGGGAGCAGGAGAAGGAGAGCCAGCACAGGGCCAAGGGAGGGAAAAGGGAGGTGGGAACAAGGATAGGGCAAGGGCGGAACAAACGACAAGGCCAGCCAGGGGACACAGGGAAGACCAGGGCAGGCAAGGAGAGTTGATGGTGGCAGCCGTAGCATCGATGGCCAGTGATAGCAGCAGGTACTCTGCAGGCCTGAAGGTCCTTGGTGAGAAATCAGGCTCCTGCGTGGGTCTTTAGAGGGTGGGCACCCAGCTCCACCTTGCCCTTACCTTGGACTCCTGTACCTACCCAACTCCTCACCAACGGCAGAAAGATTCCCCTCCGGGCCTCTCCCATCTGCTGGCAACACAGACTCTAGCTTTTGCCTCATCGGGTGGCGTTTCTGTGTGCCTGTCTGCCCTGCTGTCTGACCCACCCCTGGACGCAGCCACACCGGTGGCTGGCAGTCCAGGCCCTGATACTTTCCTAAGGGTGACTCTGAAGCTCCCCTCCCTTCTCAAGGGTCACCCAAGGCCTCACTGGGAGCCTAAACCTCTTGCCAACACGGCCACCTCTTTTACCCCCTCCTCACATCCATTTTCCCTAGCCTGACCCTTCTTTCTTCCTACTGCTTTCTTGCCACTTACTAGCTGGCAACCTTGGCAATGACTTAACCACTCTGTGCCTCAGTTTCCACAGCTGTATCACAGGGATAACGATGGTACCTACTTTACTGAGTTGTGGGGATTAGATGAGTTGCTGTGTTTGAACTGCTCAGACCAGCACCAACCCATAGTAACTGCCACGAGACCATCAGCATCATTATGCTTCTCTTTTATCTGTGCCTCTGCTTGCCAGGGCCCAAGGGCACAGCCACCCCAGCTGAAGACACCTGGTCCTTCTAAGGCTTAATAAAAGGTTCCAGAGGAGGAGCTCTGGAGACTCAGCAGAAGCCCAAACTTGAGGACCGTTAAAGTCTTTCCATGTCCCCGAGGGGTAAAGGCTTGAAAACAGGAGCTGGAGTCTTAAGTGAATGATTCAAGCTAAAACATCACCCTGTTTATGGGACAAAGTTCTCACGAGTTTTATGACTCTGGGGAAAATATTTCAGAGTATAAATATCCATTTAAGAATCAGGACTGGTGTTTTTCCAGGTGGCAAACAGCTTAAAGATGTGCTTCTAGCTCTGCCAGGTTTACTTGTAAGGACACTAATTATCTTATTAGAAACAGGTTCCTTTTTATAATTATGATTAGCTTGCCTTTTTTTTTTTTTTTTTTAAATTCTGGGAAAAGAGCATATGTATATTTCATCCCTGCCCAACGGAAACCTTGGGCTTTTCCAGAGCAGAAACACCCTGGCCACTGAGCATTACTCCCAAGTCACATTCCCCCCACATCGAACCAGACAGGGCGAAATTGCGTTTGAAGTTTGAGTGGGTTTAAATAAATTTTGTTCTGAGAATTTTGCAGCCATCCCCGAGACTCAGACGTGCAGCTGTGGCCGAGCCGTAGACATGTCATAGGCTTGGGGCTCGGCTTCCACAGTTGCACTTGCCAGGGGAAATTTCATGTTCTGTCTTCAAGGCAGGAAGGCAGGATTTACTGCAGCTAAAGCCAAGGGAGGATATAACAGCATTTCCAACACTCAAGTCAAATCTGAAGAAAAAACTGTATGAATTCTCTGTGCTTTTGGACTCAAGGTCAGAGAATGGGGTAGGAAGAAGGAATAGGAAATTATCCTGATTGCCAAAGCCATAATGGCCCAAAAGTTCACACGGCATTGTGAACTTTCAAGGTGTCCTCTCTTGGGGCTCAGCTTGCCCCAGACAGGCTGGGCAGTAGGACCAGAGAAAACTTCCCTTTTGATACCCTAATTCTCTAAAGTGGGGCTGCCTGTGTAGCTGTTACCTTCAGTGCTTTCCTGAACATTTTTAAGATGTTAGTATAACTGGGGCACCTGGGTGGCTCAGTTGGGTAATCATCTGACTGTTGATTTCAGCTCAGCGCATGATCTCACAGTTCGTGAGTTTGAGCCCCAACATTGGGCTGTCTGCTGTCAGCATAGAGCCTGCTTTGGATCCTCTGTCCCCCTCTCTCTCTGCCCCTCCCCTACTTGCTCTCTCTCTCTCAAAAATAAATAAACATGAAAAAAAAAGATGTTAGTGTAACTAACTATAGGTTTCCCAGGGTTAAGGATGTATGGCCACAGAGACCCTAAGAGAAGATAAAAAGTGTGGCTGCCACAACCCAAGATGGGTGATGGGGTGTCCTTACAGGAAGCAGGAAGCGAAGGGCTCCTCTCTGGACTCCTCTAATACCAATGAATCAATCAGGGCTGTAAACATCTGCCCCAAGTAGATGCAACTCGTGTTTTATGGTGAATCTCAAAACAGACTGTGATGTTCTCTGGCTTCCGGGACCTCTGCAAGTATGCAGGGCCTCCTCAGGTAGAGGGAGGTTTCCAACCTTGCCGCCAGAGAACTAAATGGACTCTTCATTGGTTGTATTCATGAAATGTATACTCTAGAACTGCATAATACACTACTAGCCCCTAAGCATATATAGTGATTTAAATTTAAATTAATAAAAATCAAATAAATTTTTAAATTCAGGTCCTCAGTCATCCTAGCCACATTTCAAGTGGTCAATAGCCAGGTGTGAGTCGTGGCTACCGTACTGGACAGCACGGATGGAGAACATTCCCATCATCACAGAAAGTTCTGCTGGATGGTGCCGCGTGACACGTATTCTTAATGAGCCAACCACCTTTCTTAGGTCATTCATCCATTCTACGAATGGTTGCGACCCCTTACACTATCCAATGCCTGCTGCTACTGTATTAACACATTAGCATTAGATATTGATATTTAGACAGGAACAAGGGACTCACATCCAAATTAAGACCCGGCTGTTCTGTACAAAGTTCTATGACTTCCAGATGATTTAAAGTATGTACATGCAGAACTAATACTGATGTCTCTAGTTCTAAAGATGTTTGCTGGCATTTCAAGGACTGAATCCAAACTCCGTTCCTGACTCTGCTAATTCTTGAAGAGAGAACTGCTCAACAGCCAAGACGGCGGTGTCAAAGCCCCCTGCCAGGTTTTTCTGGGATCAACAAATTTGGTGTTGTGTTGCACTTAGAAATCCTGCTGACTGGCAGCCTTCAGGATCTTTACGTGCTGGCATGTTAGCCCCACTCCCCAAACCGCCTCCCGGCTTTGACGCACCCTAGTCACTCAACCTGCCGTCGTGTTAACCCCAAACCCTTTCTCCGCTTGACGCGTTTCTCCATTGTGGGCAGACTTTCTGCCTTAGGAGGGCAGCCATCAGTAGGGCTGTACCCCATGTTATCTCCCTCAGAGACAACGCCTTACTGGGGAGGGGGTACCGGGTACCGTGAGACCCAGAAACAGTGTGTATCTCTACAGAGCTTACAGAAACTAGGCAGTTCAATTCACTTCTCAGTGGTTAATTCCAAGGTGCTGCTACTGCTACTTCAAACGGTAATAGTGTCTACAAACAATTTGCACTTTTGGAGCGGCAGGATCCCAGGGGGTAATTAGTGAATGGGGAATAATCTTTTTAAAAGTCTTTACAAGCAACATAGATTGAGGCCACCATCAAAAACAGAACCCCTTTGTTTTCTCTGTCGTGCTAGAAGATACCTGGCCGACTGACTCCTAGACAGGTTTAGGGAGCACAGGTGGTGGTTTCTGTGGAAAATTCCTCAAGGTGTTAATTAGAAATCAAACGCAGCATGTTCATCAGCTGCGGGGCTTTCTGAATGGGGCAGGCTCTAAAGATGGTCTAAGATGAAAAGAGAAGCAGAGTTCATGAGGGCTGCCCAAGGTTTGTAACTTCCATACCATTGACCATGCCAAGGTAGAAGACGGCATTCACCAGCATGCCTCCTTTCCGGAAGTGGTCACTCATGTGCTCCAACCAGTTGGCATCCAAACCGCTCACCGTCTGGCCATTCTTGGAGACCCGGAGAGGAATAGTGACCGGATAGTATTGCCGGCACTTCTGATGGCTCTTCGGCTTGTTGAAAAGGGCGAGGATCTCCATCTCTGTTGGGATTTGTAAAGAAGGTGGGAGAGAAGAGGTCAAAGAGTGATAAAAACCTGCCTCATCGAGTGTAGTGAATCTCTTAGGAGACTGAAGAAATGATATCAAAGGTAAACTTTCTGTTAGGTTGCACTAATGCCAAATAATAAAACCTGATTTCAGGTACTAAGTTAGGGAGCCTTGAAAGTGACATGGACGTCAAAGGTTGAGCTTCCAAAGGCGGGCGGGTGGCACATGGGTTTTGAATCTGGCATGTAATGAATAGCTGTTATCTGGGATCAATTTGTATAGTCAGGTGTTTGTAAGGACATGGTAGACATTTCTAGAAATCCATACAAAGGTGTTTTGGAAGAAAAAAGTGGACGTATTTGGGTAAGAGCTGGTCTTTTTTATATATATATAAAAAAAAGGTGAATATACAGAGGCACATAAAAATAAAAATACTACTCTAATTCCAGGAACCTTGTATACCCTTGAACTCACTATTTATAAACTGCAGGGGTGTTTCCTGGGGCCGAACCCATAATACTTAATCAAGTACATCGAAAATACACCACTGATATGTAAAAATAAATATGTTCCCGTAAATGAGGGTTCCTGCCTGGAGTGGTAGGTAGGTGGCACTGGGAGTGGGGCTCTGAGCTTTCCCTTTCCTTCACTTATAGCTCAGTTCTTCAAAAATCAATACTCACTAGCACCCAGAAGCTGACCCGCGCCAGCTGTACGTGCTGCTGGGCCATGAGTGAACAGTATCAGCCTCGAGGAGCAAATACCTGGAATTTCAATCTAAGTCTTGAAGGTCTTTTTCTGTGTTACTCATTTAGTCAAGCAATCAGAGTTTACCCAGCTTAAAAAGCTTTGCTAACACAGGCTAGTCAGGAATAGGCTTTGGTTTCCAAAAATACCTATTGGAATAATAAGAAAATCCCCACCCTTCTTTCAGAGAAATATTTTAAAGGTCGTAAACAATGGTTGACATTAGCAACAAGGACAAAGTATGCTCATGCTCCCCTCAGGAGAGACCTGGCCTAGACCCACGTTCCGGGACCCTGTATCCCCTACTTGAGTACTTCACAATTTTGCAGTGTCCAAACACTTGCTGAATTATTCTTCTTTTAAACAGAATTGCTTTCCTTTATTTAAATAAATGAATTTAGAAAGGAAACTTTGTTTCATGACCATAAGGGAAACAACTACCACTTGCTATAAACAGAAGGGAATGATGAGGCACATTAACACCAAATATGTCCATCCACACAACATCTAAAATTATCCCACACAGGTACTGTATTCCGGGCAAAGGAAGTCTTTTACAGCTCCATCTGAGCAAACATCAGCAGCGATCTCTGGGGAGCAGTGCCAGGCCATGACACTTTGTCATCAGCAAGAGTTAAGCTACCAGGGGGGCCATTTCTATCCATCGGATGGAACCAAATAGAAAGAAAGAAAGAAAGAAAGAAAGAAAGAAAGAAAGAAAGAAAGAAAGAAAGGTGCCCATCTTCAAAGATGGCCACCTGGATTTTAAACAACCAAATCTGGCCTATTTATTATTTCCACCCCAAGTTACCTTTCTCAGTCCATTTGCCTGACTCCAGCCAGTAAATGCTTTCCCACAAGAAATTAGGGCTTGGTGTACAGAGGTGGCAATCAGACTATTTCATGACTTTGAAATACACACTTGAGGAATGGAGTCATGCAAAGAAAGGTTTGCCATGGAGGGAAATCAAGCATTGCACTGGAGCTAGCAGGGACAGGATGTGAACTACACGATCAGGCATTTTCCAGTCCAAGGTGCTAGGTGTCCAAATAAAAGCCACACCCACTGAGGACAAGAGGATAAGCAATGCTTTAGTGAATCCCTGACTTTACCTGGATTTCTTCCAAAGCAGACCCTGTAAGTTTTTGAGTGCCAGCAGTTTATTTGGGAAGTGATCCCTGGAAATCCCTCCCAGAGAGGGAGGAGGGGTAGGAAATAGGGAAGAGAGGAAAGCCAGGGAAGGGTGCATTACTGAGCAGGTTACTGCTACAGCCATTGGGGCTCACTTAACTGCACAGAACATCCCTCTGACTGCCTTGCCACGGGGCAAGGAAGCCTGGGCATTTATCTTCAGGGATTGAGGCTACTCCTGAGGTATGAATTCCCTGGGGCAGTGGCCTGCTGGGGCCTGTTCCCATTCCAGACAACGCCTTCAGGCAGAGGCTAAGAAAGCTGTCCTCAGGTGACCCAAGGAGGACCAGAGCACCAGTCACCATAATCTGCTATAGTCAAACACGAATATATATAGATCAAAAAGAAAAAGAAACCACAACCTCTATATGGAAGAGGTGAGTAGAGAATTTGACAGTGGCCCAAGTCCAAAAATACATGACAACACTTGATCAACCAGAAGAATTCCCCACTTGCATGGTAAGACAGAAACACAACTTTCCCAAATGCGTAAAGAAACAGAAAAAGGGGAAGGCCAAAAGGGGAAGGGAGGGTGCTGGGCGTGAGGTGAAGGGAAGACAGACTGCCCGACGGACGAGGTAGACAGTGCGGTGCTGACAGAGCCCCAGCTCTCACATCAGGATCCTCCCCAGGGAGGAGGGCCGAAGCCAGAGACAGAAATAAATTTTTCAGGAAGGAAACGCTGCTGGAATCAAGAGCCTCCAAAAGATTAGTAGTGGTGAAATATTGGGAGAAACCTGATTTCAGATGTGTAACCCTTTAGTTAACTCCCCTGTCCTGCTGTATCCTTGGCCATGGTCCTCTTTCTCATTACTTACATGGAAACCGGCCAAGAGAAACTGTCCCCAAATGATGCCTTTTGATGTTTTAATATTCTGATTCTCCAACACACATCATCACATGAGCAAGCACTGAGAGTTCCAAAAAGAAGTCCCAAGTTTGTTTAAATTTTCTCAGCTGCTCTGTGACTCTGCCATGACCCCAGCTGGAAGATTTTTCCAGACATGGGACAGAAAGTCCCAAAGGAGGGGGGAAGGCATTGTTTCTGAGAATGTTCTGAGAACAGCCGAAGAATTGGACTGGCAGAGCACCCAAGGAGAATCAAGACTGTCTTGCTTGTATTTTTTAATCTTCTGGTCTTTCTCTTTCTCCCTGACACGGGGGGCTTTGCCTTGTGCCATTTGGATCCCCTCTGTCCAGAAAAGTCCCTGTAATATGATAGGAGATGCAGGTATGTTGCTGGATTGACCTAAGCCAGAAAGTGCAGTAAGCTAGGGGAGGAGAAGGGGGCGCTGGGCTTACTGGGTGCTGCCAGCCTGATAGCCAGACCCACGAAGGCCTTGCTAAGCTCCTCAGGAGCAGGGAAGAAGGAAATTGATGCCCAGTTCTGAGGCCCAGGCCAGGCAGTTGGGATTCAGGCACAGGATGGAAGTCTGTGGTCTGTCTGCAGAGAGACAGGCTCCAGAGAGCCTGTGACTGGCAGGTAGCAGGCAGGCTGGTTGGGTCCTGATGTTCCAAGAGACCTCCAGCCTGGAGGGAAGGGAGCGTGCAGCATCTGGCATAAAGCGTGACTCCCAGGGCTAGACTGGGAGGAGGAGGAGGCTGGTGAGTTGGCTGGGGAAGAAACATGTGGGAGTCAGACTTGACCCGGTAGCTGCACTGAGTCGGGGCTAAGTTCTGCTGAGGTGACAGGCAGCGGGGCTAAGATGGAAGGTTTGCACTGGGAAGCAGGGCTGTGGGCTCTGTGATGGGATGAGAAGCCAGAAGGGCCTCAGTCCCGTTTGGATTCTTGAATCTGAGAGAAACTGCTTCAGACTTCTGTCAGGCTCGGGTACTAGCAGCAGGACACCTCTGGGCCCGGGTGGGGCTTGTTTGTGGAGGCAAAGTGGGGAAACCAGGCATATACAGCACTCCACGGGAATCCCCTGGTCAGGACAGCAGCAGCTACGGGCACTTTCACCTCCACCATCTGATGTGACTCTCCCAACCCCCACACGAAGGGCTGCCTCAGTTCTAAGCCCAGAAGCCTTAAGTGGATCCCCCAAACATCACAAGCTGGAAAGTGGCAAAGCCAAGAGTCTTTCAAACCCCCAGCCCTGGGCTGTTTCCAAATCTAACAAGAGGCTAATTTCATCAGTACACAGAAAGCAGGAGCTGTGGACCACGGGTGGGAGCTCAATAGCTGTTTGTTAATGGACTGAGGGAAAGGCCAAAAGATGGCGGCAGGTGGCAGATTTGGGAGGAGGAGAGCCACAGGGTAGCGCCATTCTGGGGGCGCGGGAAGGCAGGGCCACACATCAGAAAGGCCAGACTCAGGAGGACACCTCCTCTCTCTCCCCACACAAGGAGCTGGCTGCCAAGGAGGACTACTGAATAAAACCCCCTCGGCCAAGAAGTACAGTTGAGGTCACTAGCTTGGGTTTCTGGCTGGCATTTCTGAGCATTTTAAGTGACGAGGCACAGGATAGGAAGGGCAGCTCTTGGAAGATGTTTCAGTATTATTCAGTGGCAGAACAATTTGAATTTGTGTGAACCTTCCTGGCAACAGAGACGCTCAGGGAAGGACAGAAAGGAATGTTGGAAGCCAGGAGACAAGGGACAGGTGGATGTCTGGGTATACCTTCCTAGCCTTTCCCAGCACCGGCCTTCCCCACCTGGCCTGTCCATGCTTCCCATCTGCAGAAATGCATCACAAGGGGCCATTCGGAGCAGAGCTACTGGGGTGCTCTGTGTTCATCATAAGGCAGGGGCAGGAGCGGGAAGGGCAGCGTCCAGGAGTGAGGCATGGGGCTGTCCCTGCACCAGCTCAGGCCGTCTCTGCACAGCAACGACACCAAACCATCAGGGAAATCCCCGACCAGGAAATAAAAGTCAATGATCAGGAAGAGAACCACATGATGGGTCCCCAGAGAGACCTGTATGGGTGAAGGGGAGCATAACCTCCGGATCAGAGAGGCCGTTCAAGAGCCCACGGGGAGGGGGAGGGGCAGCCTGCCCCGTGTCTGGATGGTGAATTCACTGGCAAGCCCCATGTGAGCAGTTGCAGCCTAGACCCGGCTCCCCTAGGCCTCCTATAAAGGAAATAAATTAAACGAGGAGAAGGAGGGGGAAAGAGGGTGACTCCCTCTGGATTTTTTTTAATTGTCTTGCTGTGATTGCCTATTTAAGCCCACCTGGCAGAAAGAGGAGTAAAAACACTTCACCCTCCTTAGGGGGCCCTGCGAGAAAGGCAAGCTGAAAGCTGAGCAAGCAAGCAGCAGGGAGGGGAAGCTGGGGGGATTTGGGAGGAAGGGTGATGGTGCAAGGAACTGGTAAGACTTCTCAGGAAAAAGATTTAGGAGAGAGGTTTGGGTCAGGTGAAGGCCATGACCAATGTGGGCAGGGTCCCTACATGTCCGGCCTTCGGGGAGGCTGAATGCTCAAGCTAGGAGATAAAACGTCACTACTTGAGAGCATGGAAGGTGACTTTCCTCATCTGTGAAATGGGCTAATAATAGCATCCGCCATCATAAAACTGTTGTTGTGAGGCACCATCAAGATGGTTCATCGGAACTTAGAACAGTTCACCCAGAGAGTTACCACCATCATGACTGTCTATCCCCAGCAAGGCCATATATGTGGCCAATAACCCCTGCATGTTCATTAACTGATGAAAAAAATCCAAAGGCTCATTTGTTCCACACGACGAAGAGCAAAGGATAACAATAAGCTGCCTAAATTTCAGAGAGACCCATGGCCTCATGAGCAGAGAGATAAGAGCCAGCTTTGTGTGTAAACAACAGCCAGCCAGCTGCCCACTGAGTGAGATTAAAGTGGGGTACTGTAACACGCCCCTCCCCCATGGTTGAAATTCCCCTCCACTGTTGGCCTGACCACTTCCAGACACATCCTTCTTTAGCAGGATCTGGTTTGCTAGTAAAGAGAAGGGACTTGAAGAAATGAGGCACAGGCCAGGACACCTTGGGTGCTGAGGGGTCTTTATGGGTTCAGCAACGGAGGGGGCTCTTTGGGTGAGGGAGACAAACAGCCATAGGCCAGCGGGAGGCACGTGGGGGAAATGGTCCTAGGACAAGTCTCCCCAGTTTAATTCTCCCTAGAGTCAACCAAAGAGGGCAGGAAGTCTGGAAGGAGTCTTGGAGAAAGGTGGATTCTAGAGCAGGAAATCTCAGAAAAGTCCTGCGGGGAATTTCAGTATTGAATGCCTCCTTTCTCAAAACCAGGGCTCCATGCAAAGGTGGAGGCCAGTGGTCAGGGCTACTGAGCCTGTGTGCCAATAATAACAGCTCACACTTAAGAGTCAAGCAGTGCTGAGTGCTTCAGATGTACATCTTGGGGCGCCTGGGTGGCTCAGTCAGTTAAGCGTGCAACTCTTGATCTCAGCTCAGGTCATGATCTCACGGTTCGTCAGATGGAGCCCCAGGTCAGGCTCTGTGCTGACAGTGTGGAGTCTTCTTGGGATTATCTCTCTCTCTGCCTCTCCTCTGCCTCTCTCTCTCAAAATAAATAAATAGAACGTTTTAAAAAATGTACACCTAACCTTTCAATATGAATCTATTGTTCCATCTCTATTTTCCAGGGTAAGAAACTGAGGCACAGGAGGGTATCTTGTCCAAGACTGCCTAGGTAGAAGGTGGCAAATGGAATGTGAGTGGGGTCTGGTTTCTTAACCACAGTGCTGCCTGTCTCCATGACTCCTGGCCCCTTCTTCAGAGGTGCTGGCTGTGTCTGCCCTGAACTCTCACCCTCGCATGCTCCTTCAAGGAGGTCGGTCTTCCTTCTGGGGATTCAGAACAACACATGCAGCCTAACAGCAATGAGAAGATGGGAGGTTTCTGGAATAACACCCGGACATTCATCAGGAGGCACACACAGGGTCTAAATGTGCTCTCAGCTACTCTGGAGGGAGAAGTCTACCTCAAACAGTGTGAAAAGTCCCATAGCTGAAAAGCCCTACTTTAGTACATATTTAAGAAGGATCCAGCCATAATATTAAACAACAGCCATAATATATCCCAGAATGGAGGCAGTGCCAATCTCTCGCTCTAAATCAACGTTGCAAGTTAAGTCCAGAATGGCCCACCCCGCAATTTTCTTTCCAGGAAGTACCGACCTAATATAACAAAAGAAACTGTTCCACCTTCTTCTAGATTCTCAGCGCATAAACTGTTCCTCATCATTAAGAAGAGGCTAATTTCAAGAATCAGGAAATGAATAATAACATGAACTAGGAAGATGACCCAGAAGGCCCCCTAAAGCCTGGGGGTCTCCTGGAAGTCTTGTTACCAGTGCACCTTCTGAAGGCTGGAAGAGGCCACGCAGCTCAGACAGGTGCCTGGCTCTTGGGAAATGGCTGGATGCTAGATTTCTTGGAGAAAGAAAAAGGAAAGGGAATTACAGGGAAAGGGAGAGAAACTTCACTCACCATAAAGTGAGGGCCTCAGGAAATCTTATTAGTCTATTAGAGTAGAGACGTATAACAAGATAAGTTCACAGACCAGATCTGCCAATTTCCTAGCCTGGGAGAAGATTTACTCTCTAAATCTCAGTTTACTCAGCTGTAAAATGGGCAATGATACTACAGCTCACCCACATCACACACATCACCACAATTAAGAAATGTTGGCTGCTATTAATAAGTGTTGTTCTTTGAATTTGCCAACCTAAAATGCCTGCTCGAATGGCCGTTACAATGTGATTAGGAGGATTCACGTATTGGTGGCCTCTCGTTGGCAGTGTTCTCTCCACACTGCTGATTTGTCAACTATACGCCCTGCCTGAAATCAGGCTGTTTACAGTACCTAGTGAGTTGAATCACCAGTTTCCTGCACAATTTGTCCTTAACTGGCTTTCTTGATTTCTTTCTTTAGGCAGATATTCAAAATGAGGGGACCAAAAGGGAGCATACGTTCTGCATTGGTGCCCAGCATCTTAACACTTTTCCTGTGCTAAGAGCAGGGCAATTCAAGGGTAGCACAAGAGCATGGGGTGAAAATCCCTTAAGTTCTAGAATCTACTTCGAACGTGACATGTCGGAGCGACCAGAAGGCAATTCCGTGGTTCTGCTCTCCCGGAAGTCACAACTTCAGTACGCAATCAGTCAGGAGGCCCGGAAAAATGCCTGATGAAGTTTCCCCTGTGCGATGGACTGCTGTCTCTACACTCTAATTCCATTTCTTTTTCCTAAAAGGCCATGGGGACTACTGAAAAGCCGTTAGCCTCTCTTATAAGTGGTTGCTGACATACTTACTTCCCGAGAGTGGCTCCTCACTCACTTCCAGCAGGTCACCCTCCGGCCCATCCAGAGTCTTGCTCACCCCGTGTGGAGAAAATTCTGCTCCGTCCCCCTCTCCCGAGGGCAAGCTGGGTTGCTCAGCGATGGGCGTCTCCCCTCCTGGGCCCTGGCCTGGCTCCCGGCTGCCGTCCATCCCCACGGGAGCACCCGGGTTCTCGTTATTCTCACACCTGCCCGGGTTTTTTTCCGCATCTCTGGCGTCCACTGGGGGGCTGCTGCCTGCCGACCTCGCAGGGCAATGGTACTGAGGTATGACGCCGACAAATTGCAGGCCCTGACTTGCAGCCTCCTGGATCTGTAAGGCAAACGAAATGAAGGGGACTGAGTGAAGGGAACTTTATTCTATCAAAGGGGGACACGGGCAACATCCAAAACGTCTCACCGGAGGATTCTGAGGATGATTCAGTTTGAACACGAAGTCTCTCAAGGTGGCAGGTGTCCCATGTCCCTCTAGGCAGTGGCCACACCCTAACCCTGGCCCGCCTGGGGACAGACAGCATGGGGCTTGCTCTTTTTAATTATGAAGCATATTGGGGGCGCCTGGGTGGCACAGTCGGTTAAGCCTCCCACTTCGGCTCAGGTCATGATCTTACAGTTTTGTGGGTTTGAGCCCCACATTGGGCTCTGTGCTGACAGCTCAGAACCTGGAGCCTGCTTTAGATTCTGTGTGTGTGTGTCTCTCTCTCTGACTCTCCCCTGCTTGTGCTCTCTCTTTCTTTCTCAAAAATAAAACATGAAAAAATTATGAAGCACGTGGCTAAATAGGGCTGGGATTACCTCTCTTTGCAATACCGCATTCGTCCCTACTGGTTATTTTTTCTCTAAGAGGCTGAAAGAAGGTTCCAAAGGATGAGTTGAAACAAAGAGTTTGAAAGAGGAAGTTCATTTTGGTAAGAGTTTATTTTTTCGTTATTATTATTTTTTTTTTTCTGATGAATCGCCTACTTCCTGCCAGTCAGGCTACTGTATAATCCACTATGTCTATATAGCCATATACTAACTACCAGATGACATTTTATGACCCAAAGAGCTTCCTCTTTTAAACAATTGTTTTGGCAAAGAAGGGCGGAGGTGGGGAAAATCATCACTGCGTGGAGGCTGGTGTGCACATTCCCCACAGCAGGGAAATCTGACGGACAGACACCTGTTCCTTGGTGCTCCGCCTAAGCCAAAGGCACCTGAAAGCCATGCTGGGCCCACAGGTGTTGCTACGGCTGTCTCGTGACTCTGTAGGCTACGGGATACACCATCCAGTCTAGGTAACAGGTAACTTGCTTCTCACTTCCTGAGTCTGCAAGATGGGGGGTGTTGGGGGGGGGGCTAATGACCACACAAAGTACTAAGGCACTTTAACTCTACCCTCCCTGACAGATACCCCTGGGCAACTGAATGTAATAGTTGTATGTGAAAGAAAAATTGAAAGTAACAGCCTAATAAAATCAAGCAAGAGCCGACCCAAACTGGAAAATCGGCTTTAAGAGACATCCTGGGCAAGGATGCTCAGGTCATTTTACAGATAAATCAGGAAGTGAAGACCTCAGAGTTGTGTAAGTCTTAGTCACCAGCCTCTGAGTGGATGACCTCAGAAAATCTTGAGGCCTCTGTAGCGATCATCTACTGTCATTTGAGAATTAGTAAGAAACACCAGCATGGAGCTACTCTTTCTAAGGGAGAAGTAAGCCGTGACCACCCTCCTTGGATGAAACGCCCTAACTTTAAGCCGAAGGTCATTTTAGTTCAACAATGCACACTCTAGAAGGCAATCTACAGCAGTTACAAATGTACCATCCAGTCTTTCTATAAAGTCTAGCTTTTTCTAGAAATAATGACAACAACAGTAGGGATTACCGTCTACTGTAGACCTACTAAGTCCCAGACACTGTACTAGGCATTTTACATAAATCGTCTGTTTAATCCTTCAAACACACCACATGGTATCATTATCTCCATTTCAGATGAGGATACTGAGGCCCAGAGACATTACAGTCATAAAGCAAGCAGTGAGTAGCTGAGGTTCAAAGCCAGGTCTGACTCAGACCCAAGTTCATTCTCAATCACTAGACCAAGTGGATGCCTCTCAAGGCATCATCAAGTACATATGTGTTCTCGGACATGTATGTGTCCACACATATGCCCGTGGCTGGCTCAATTCACTCTTCAAAAGTTAAACAAAAAAACTTAAAGTCACTCCATCCCATTCCGAAAATTCATTTTGACCCATTAATCTGTGATAGCTGCCTGCTTCTAGAAACTGTTTTGGAAAGCTTCTAAAGGAAGACACAGGTACCAAAGTTTTAAGAGAAAAGAGTGGGAGATCATTATTACCAAAGAACCTTAGGTTAAGGGAAGCTACTGCATATGAAGGCTTGCTCTGAGCCTCCTGGCAACATAGGGAGAGCCATGGATTTTTATAATCCTTAAATGAAATGAGGAAACATGCCAGGTCAATAAGAGAGAAGCATAATTTGCTGGTAAGGAACAGAGAAATTTGTCGTATGACTCTTGCAGAGCTATGGAGTCAAATGGGTCTTCCTTAGTTTTACAGAAAACGAAGAGACATTTTTCTTACATCATTTACATACTCTTAACCCTTGATAGAAGGCGAGGACATTGTGCTAAAGCACAGATCTTCAACAGTCCTTCCGTGTGGCTCTAACGTGATAGAAGCCAGATAACTGAAGGCAGCTGCGGCCGATGGCAGCCCGCTGAGATGTGTCATGCTCGGGGACGGGGCCACTTCAGCACTAACTTCCCCAATTCCCACTGTACTGGAGTGAGGTGGCTTGTTCTCGTCTTAAAAGTTTGTGAAATAATTTCAGAAATCACTTGCCTATGCTTCTTCCCAACGGTTGGGAAAGTGGCTTTTTAAAGTTTTGAACGTGTTATGCACATTCTCAGGGCACTGAATTTATAGTAGAAGTAAACTAAAACCTAACTGCCACAATTTTCATACGTGGGAAAACACCACTAATAACTTCCAGGGGTAGCTCCTACAGGAAGGACAGTGAGCCAGCTCCCCTCAAAGCTGCACACCTCTGTTTCAGCCGGGTGGCGTTCCCTTTCATGAACCGCGAGTCTGAGCCTCTCCATTTGCCACCGTGCTGCAGGAACAGGTGCACTGTCAGCACCGCCTTGCACACGCCCCCCTTGCACACAGCCCCTGCTGCGGGTGTCTCACCACACACAAAACAGCTATGACTGTTGAAGTATTAAAAGCTGGTCCCACTGGGGGCTCAACCACAGGCCAGTCTCGACTTGAGTCATGGGGTTTGGAGGCAGAAAGGCTTGGCTTGGAGCTCCAGATGTACGACTCTGGAACCAGAGTACGTTATATCACTTTCTATGCCTCAGTTTTCTCATCCACAAAAGGAGGGAGATCCTACTTCTCTTGCGGTTGCTATGAAGGTTAGACATTACATACGGCAGGTGTGCCGAAGGACAGGCACAGAGAAGGCACTCCTGACCATCACTATTGCTCTACCCTCTCTCCTCATCGGTCCCAGGCTTCTGTGACCCTGCTGACTGCTGACAGTCATCCAGAAGACGGAGGTGAGGACTCTGGACACAGGGCATTATCCCAATCCTCTCTTTCCTTACTGGGACTTGAAATTGCGAGAGGCTTTGCATTAATCAGACATGTCCCTTCTCTCCCAACTAACTGGACTACCATACTCCTTTGCCCTCCTGTACCTCAAACTTATCCTCTACGCCAGGGGTTCTCAAAGTGAGAACAGCATCAGCATCACCAGGGAACCTGTCAGAAATGCAAATTCCCAGGCCTCGCTGACTTCAGAAACTCTGAATCAGAGCCCCTGGGGATAGGGCCCAAAGCCTTCCAGGTGATTCCAATACACCCCAAAGTTTGAGAATCACTATTCTAGAATATGCATTTCATGAAGTCTGGAGTTTTGTGCGCTGCTTTGTCCCTGGTGCTAGAATGATGTCTGACATACAGGAGGTGCTCTTTAAGTATCTGTGGAATGAATGAATACATTAAATAATGAGTGAATATGTATGTCTTCTCTCCCAGAATGACCTCCTTGAAGGTAGAGATGGAGACTGATTAATTTTTCAGCTCCCGAATTCAACTGTATTAAGTCTGAACACTGGCCTAGGCCAACATTGCACTTAGGTGCTGGGGATACAAAATGGGGCACCTGGGTGGCTTAGTCAGTTAAGCATCTGACTTCAGGCCAGGTCATAATCTCATGGTTCATGAGTTCAAGCCCTGTGTCGGGTTCTGTGCTGACGGTTCAGAGCCTGGTGTCTGCTTCGGATTCTGTGCCTCCCTCTCTCTCTGCCCCAACAAAAACAAAAACAAAAATAAAAATAGAAATCCTTACTCTCAAGAAGATTCAGCTAACTACTGTAAACAGCTTTGAAAAACAATTACAGTAATGTGGCAAAAAAAATGCTTATTTTATAATGTTGTATTAAAAAAATCAAGATTCTGGGGTACCTGGGTGGCTCAAGTCAGTTGAGCTTCTGACTCTTGATTTTGGCTCAGATCATGATCCCAGGGTTGTGGGATCAAGCCCTGCGTCAGGCTCTGAGCTAAGCCACTGAGCATGGAGCCTGCTTAAGACTCTCTCTCTCTCTCTTTTCCTCTGTTCCTCTCCTCCACTCACAGGCTCTCTCTCTCAAATAACAAAAATAAAAAATAAAACAAGATTCTAAATTTTATAGACACAGTATCATGACAGCTATGTCATATTTCTGAAGTGTGTAATTTTTCAAAATTTATCTGATGAGTATGCATATTACTCTAAAAATTTTTTTAATGTTTATTTTTGAGAGAGAGAGCATGCGAGAGAGAGAGAGAGAGAGAGAAAGAGAGAGAGAGAGAGAGTGGGGGAGGGGCAGAGAGGGAGACACAGAATCTGAAGCAGGCTCTAGACTCCAAGCTGTTAGCATAGAGCCCAAAGTGGGGCTCAAACTCACGAACCGCGAGATCATGTCGTGAGGTGAAGTCGGATGCTTAACTGACTGAGCCACCCAGGTGCTTTTATGCAGTAAATACTGGAAAAATTTCTCATAGAGCATGTTAAATGTAGGAATGGATATAAAGGTATAGAAATGACAGTGATTATTTCTGCCTTAAGGGGAAGCAGAAAAGTTTCTGACAGGTCAGGGCTATAACAAATGAAATAATGTAATATAGTAGGAAGAGGTGAGGAGTGTGACAGAATCAAGAGTGTGTACCTCTCACTTTACACTTTCAAATTCAATTTTTTTCTCCAAAATACTATGCTAGACAAACTCTATTTGGGGACCAAATCTGCAGGAGGCTTTGAA